TAACTTTCCCTGGATATGTTGTCTGACGCCGCTGAGGACTGTTTTAGCATTAACCTATTCGCGAAATTTCTTATAAGGAGTATAAATTAATTTGAAACACTGAGTTAGAGTTGTCCTCAATTTTCGAGTTTCAGTTGAAATGATTCCCGAAATATTCAGATAATGCGAGGAACTCACCTTCTTCAGACTTCTTCGGAGTGTCGACTTTCTTGTTAAAGACTCAGAATGAAAGGCAGAAGAAGTACAGATTAAGTTTCCGCTTAACGATTACATCTAATATCAACTCAAAGCCAGAGGCGGATTAAGGGGGTAGGGGAGAGGGGGAGTTAAGGGGGTAGGGGAGAGGGAGAATTAAGGGGGTTGCAATGAGAAAGTGACTTCTTCTAACCCTTCCATTTTCAGAGCTTGTCAAAATGAATATTCTCCTCGCGATTTTGATACAATATCCTGCAAAGAGATAACGAGAGGAGACGAGGTTATCAGATTGAAGTTTTTAATCCTTTGTTTCGTTTACAAGGCAGAGTAAGGCGGTCAGAAAAGTGAATTTCACAAAGGATTTTGCACCTCTTGGGAGTTGCAAGATCAATATGAATTTATTATTTCATAGTTACAGCGAGAGAACATCATGATCAGCGGTCTTTTTGTTTATTCTGAAGGAAAGATACATATTTACATGTTCAAGTACATATTCATCATAAATGAAACTGAAAAGAGGTTTATCACAATTGTGAGAAGCGAGAATATTCCCAGAATTTCCGAAAACTTTATTCTTTAGAGAGACTGGGTGTTAAACGCTTTTCCAAGAATTTTGTAGACTCATTCGAAAGAATTGATTCAAGGATTCCGATATGAGGAGTCGAGTGATTCGTTACGTGATACGATAAAAGAAAGGTACAAATCGCGCGCAAAATCGTATTTTCAACAACAATTAACATTCAAGGAATACTGAAAAAAAATTGCTCGCCGAGCTGCGACGGTTTTTTAATAACTCTCCTGGATTTTAATTCTTACTACCGCAATCCCACACTATCGAGTAATTCACATTCACAATGACTCAGTGTTTTTCTTGGACTTGTTGTTAGTTTTTCCGCCTCGCAAATTCGTGAAGGAATCACAGGAATGTGGAAATGATCAACTCACTCGACCCTCAGGCGATGAGTATACACAAGATCGAACTAGGCTGATGGCATTTTGGCCAAATCAAGGAAGGGAAATGAAATGGTGGTGATGGATCTCAGGCGTTTTGATCCTCCTCTTCTACTATAAGAGATGGAATGTAGGAAAGAAAGTTTTAGCACCTTTACATTTCCTATTGATATGACGCAACCAGAGACACACCGCTCATCTGTCAATCATAACTGTTTGTGCTGAATCCCGATGCAAGGAAAAACTTCGTGGATTGGATTGAACTGTATTAATGAGGACTGAGTGCGCGTAAAAAGTAAAATACGAACAGATAACTATTGACACCAAATCAATACCGAAAAAGGAATAAAAAAGGACGATTACGCTATCAAAGTTAAATGTACTCACATTGTTGAATTTTCTGCTTTGCCTTATAAGATTTGGAAAGTGTATCGGCAAAATTTGAAGCTTAAAATCTATTGTAGTTTGCTGTAGACTATCCGCCACTCAGACTACCTATTTACGAATGCTCTCTCTGTCTTATAAACTAAAGCTTGGATAGATGTTCTATTTACTCTCTGATTTCAAGTTAGCTCTATCAGATAACTGTATCTGTCTGATATGAATGGCGAGCTTGTTCTCAGTGTACTCATCAACAGTATTAGGGTTAATAGAAAAGGAAGGAAGGAAGGAAAATATTTCGGGAAATCAAGGCTTCCCATTTTCTGTTCTCCTCTTGGGAATCGTTTAAGCTAATGGGAGCCTTCTTGATACCTTTTTTTACATGCTAGTCTAGGACGATAACTCTAGTACAAGGGTTATAAACATGGGTCCAGTCCATTGTATCATAGTTCACTCTATTAACAATGATTGTAAGCACGCCTTTCATAATGGCGGACGCCTAGGGAGAACTGGCACTAGTACACGAGGTCGAGGCCATCCATGTAAAATGGGGTAGACAGGCCTACACGACTCCACAGCGCGTGTTTAGAATAGCCTATTCAAAGTTTGGCCCTCACGAGTATGTCTTTGAGCGACCTTCCTCTTTTGCAAGATACGAGGGGCGGATTTTTCTTGACAGTTTCTTATTTCTAAATAAGAAACTATAATACAGTAAAACATTCAATTTTCCTCTCAACTTAAAAATACTTGTAATCAGTTAATCTATTCGTAGCCGTCGAACCTGATAAACTAGTAAAAGTAAAGCTTGTGAAGTGATTATTTCTCCTGAGTAGCCTGCTTAGATTTTTAAGGGCGAAACTACCTACATTTTTGACATGATGGTTGACATAGTTCCATACCACCGAACCTCTACATTCTAAAGAGTCGTTTAACAATCTAGTGTTGAATCTAGGTGTGGTTATTGCTTCTTGGTCTCTTGGTGAATAGCTACATTCCCGCCTTATGAATATGCTATTAATTAGAGACTAGGCTAGTGAGACTTAACTTGCTCCATAAAAAAGGTTAACTACTTGAAATTTGTATTCTAAATTGATAGTATCCCATCCTGAAACGTTGAGAGCTACATTAGATTCCGTATCTTTGGATAAGTTGTAGATAATTTATTCTGATCTACAGTGAAGTTTCTCAATTGAGTACAGAAGATCCGAAATTGTACACGAACCGCATAAAATAATACCATACTTCACAGAAGGTAATATTACACTAAAATAAAACTTTAAAAGGACATTTTTGGACAAGAACCTTGAGCGTTTCAATAAGTCTATTTTGTTCGCAAATTTTTTCTTTAGTTCTAGCATATGCGGTATCCAGGTAAGCTTGTCATCTACAATCATTCCAAGAAGACGCGATTTTTTTACCTAGCCTAAAACAGATTTACCCAAAAATATTATAGGTAGCGGTCCTATAATGGTTGGTGTACTAATTAACATGACTTCGCTCTTAGCCGGGTGAGGTGTTAAGCGATTCTTTAGGCACCACCCGTAGACCTCTTGCATAGCACAGTTCAAGGAAGCAATCGCTGCATCTGCAGACTCTCTGATGCTGAAAATTGACGTATCGTCCGCGTACATGAACAGGGATCCCGTGGTAATCGCGGCGGGCAGATCATTAGTGAATCAAGCGAACAAAACAGGGCCTAAAACAGATCCCTGTGGTGTACCATTTGTTACTGGTAACATGTCAGATTTGACTCATTAATCACAGTCTACTGCATTCTTCCCCTCAACTAGTCCCTAATCCAACCTAGCAACGCTCCCGTGATACCGAAATTATATTTCAGCTTCTTCAGCCTCCCGGTTAGCTCAATGGATAGAGCGCTGGACTGTTGTGCGGGAGGTCGAGGGTTCGAGCCCCGGCCGGACCAACACTCAAGGTCTTAAAATAAAAAGGAGAATATGCTACCTTTCTATAACATCAAGAAATGGTTAGATATTCTAGTCTTCTCGGATAGGGACGAATAAATGGAGGTCCCGTCTCCTGCAGGGTCAGGGGTAGGAGACGTTAATTTCCCACGCACGA